TTTACAGTTAAAATAGATGTTTATCAAATAAAGTTTAATGTTACCACTAATTGTGGATCCCTTTAACAACCTGATAACTTCAAAACGCTGCATGTCGTCACAGAAAACAGAGGCTTTCCCACTGATGCTGTCTGTGTGGGAAGACTGGGAAAAGAATTTGCCACTGCTAAGACACAGAACGGTAGTTTAAAGGCCTCCTCGGGCAACCTGAAATCACCACCCTGCAGGATTTTTCTACCAGCTGTTTTAAAAATAAACTTCTTCAGAATGAAGGAGAGTGAAAAATTTCTTTACAGTTGAGTACTACAGAAAACAAAGATGTGAAAGAGCCAAAACATCAGTTGAAACATTACACGTGCAGAAAAAGCATTTATCTATTATGTATCAGTTTTTAAATAAATCTCAGAGCCCCAACTATGAAAGTCTAAACCATGTGTCAAACTCAAGGCCCATGGGCCAAATATGGCCTGCCAAACAGGGGTGGTTCTAGGGGCAGGGCCACAGGAGCATTGGCTCCAGCTGAAATCTGATTGGCCTCCTGAAGTGCCCCTGTCCTGTCATTCATCTGTCTTTTGTCTGGGAGTGATGACGGTGGATGCAGTTCCATGTTCAAACACTAGTGCGCTAATGAGTCAAATAGTAAAGTCCAGAATGAATCAAGCTTACAGAATTCTTCTTCTCTCCTTAAGAAAATTAGAACAATCCTGTAAAAAAAGTCTTTCATCCGACAAATGATGGTTGGATTTTTTCACACGTTGTGTGTTTGAGAATATTTTATCTATGTACAATAAAATGTATGAAAAACTGGGAATTGACTGAGAATGTTCTGTGCAAGATTTTTTTGGTACCACTTTACAATAAGGCTCCCCTTATAAATGGCTTATAAAGAGTTTAAATGATAAGAAACGCATATTTTAATATATTAATATTGTGCTGTATTACTGCATTATAAATATTCACAACTGTCAAAGGGAGACTTATCAAAGTGTAATACAGTACACTATTTATTAATGGCAAATAAACATTTATAAATGCCAAAAGTTAGTCTTTAATGTGAAAATCATTTTTAAAACTTAATGTTGATAATATTTGAAATTATTGTTCAAACATGTAACTACTATCAACAATGTTGATGTATCAAAAAACTAAATAAAATAAAATAAATAAAAACAAACAAAAAACGTCATGTTAACATACCAAATAATCCATCCCAAACTAAAACAGTGTACAGTTTTATTTTGTACAACAGGGATCCCTTTAATATATGTGGATATTTATGTGTTAAAATATGCATTTCCTAATCATTATTGTGCTTACAAGGTAGTAAACTAGTCTGAAATGTTTAATACCCAAACAGATTTGGCTCAGTATTTGGAAAGAAACCAGACAGTTTAGTCTCTCTTTTTTACCTTGATGCATAATAAACACTTATTAATAATTTATAAAGTGTTTACAGGATAATTAGTAACCTATCTATAAACTCTTTAAAAGCCATCTATAAGGGGAGCCTTATTGTAAAGTCGTAATCTATTAAAAAAATACATTACATTACAAGTGTTCGAACATGTATGACTGGTTAAATGTTTACATCTTACCAAAACTGGGGATTTGTGTGAAAGGATGCTGAACAAAGGCTTTGGCCCCTCTATGAATATAGTGACCCCTTGATGGCCCCTTACTCAAAAAAGTCCTAGATCCGCCACTGATTTGCAGTCAGTGAAATGTTTGTAAAGAAAACAGGGACAACCTTGAATGAATATCACTAAGACTTAAACAGAGCAATTAACAGGATTTTTATTAAATTTTCTGTTTCAAAAGCTCAAATTTCTCCAGATTTTTTTTATTATTAACACCCGAGTGAAAACATTTTCTGTTTATGTAAAATATGCAATTTTGAAACTAGACTAGCGGGTAATAAGAACGCTATATTCATTTTTTCTTATCATTTCACCAATAATTTCCCAAATGATTGTAATTCAAGGTGGTGCAGTTTAAACAGATGAAATGCCCAAAYAGGTTAATGAAAATAAGTAAAACAGATGTGTTTTTTATTCTTCTCAGTTGTAAKGTATGTGTTTACCTTTTGTAACCAGTAATTTTAATGTAATAAAATCAAATCCAACACGGTCCTCAGTRACTTCATCAGGCCCTGGTTTACAATAAGGCAACAGCTGTAGCTTGTATTAAGAATTGCTTTGGGACAAACCAACGTAAAGCTGATGAATAAGACAAGTTATTTGTGATAAAAGAAAGATATAAGGAATGCGTTATATTGACATAATATGAATCAGTCTTACCTGCTTCAGCACGCAGGGGCGTAGGCTAGCTAACGTTACCTGAGGCTCCAGTTTCCTACGAGCCGCTTAAACAATGACTTTCTCTGTTTTAAAACAACATGCTACAAAACTAATACACGTTTCCAAACAATAGAACATATTTGCAACTTGTGAAAGAAATCAAAACATTCGTATTCGTATTTTTAATCGCCAACAAGCACGGTACTTCATTTGTTTTGTCTGGCTCTTCCTCAAACAGTTCCGTGTTGAGTTTGAGTGCCACACGGCCGACCAATTAAAAGAGGACAGGGCTGTGAAACCGTCCAATAGATGGACGAGACGCCATTAGGGGAGGGGCGTTCTTGTAGACAGCGAGGTCTCTGTGGTTTTATTTATTTATTTTGGCTGGCTTCATTGTTTTCCAYAATTTCCACAGATTTCGACCAATATGGCCCGCTCTCATAAATGATGCGCTAGAAGCTCTGTGTGCAACAACCCAGAAATGACAGCAAACTCAAAACTTCAAAAGTGAAAAGGGTCATTCTTTTATAAGGAAGCAAGCAAGAAACAAGGAAAATGAATGAACCAGTGATTTCTTATTAACTACACTGTTCAGTTACGTCACACATTTTTATTTAAGCTGTTGTTAAGATTAACAATTCACGTAAAAGATAAATTAATATTTTGTCAATGGTTTCTTCTCCATAAACATTGTCAAGCTACAGGGCTTACGATAATCAATACTTCATTGATGTTATGACAGAACGATGATAAAATTGTGAGTACTTTTGTAAAAGTCACATGTGAGCGTTGTATCTTGTGTGGACTTTCAAAATAAAAGCGACTACTTTTAATTCTCTATCAAAATGGTATTAAATGTTGGGGGGAAAAACACAGATGTTACGTTTTTTGTTTAGTTTTCTTTAAACACGTGTTTAAACTGTCTCTAGTTTATAGACACTTTGCCAGTTTTACGACACTGATATGTTATATTCTGTCAACATTACTTGTARAATGAGTACTAAACACTGAGTAGCGAGACTGAGACGAAAAAGGGACATTTTTGAAAACACTTTTCTTGTTGTTCACTTGCTCTCTTCAAGTGTGTTTGTGTTTTTCTGCCCTCTTGTGGACAATAAAATAATTGCAACAGCAAATTTAAAACCCGAGGCCTGAAAGATGATAAAAGACACAAATAGGCGTAAGGAAACGTATTTCCCGCATTATTATGGTACATATTTTACTTTGATGGGAAATAAGCGTCYCTAACCTTTATACTTTCCATTTTGTACATTTCAGGACGATTCATGGAAATTAAATAGAATCAAAATGTAACGGATTTTTGGCGCCGTCTGGTGGTCGAATAAAGGAACTATCAGTGTTCCTTTGTGGACTTTCAAAGGTGCATATTCTGAATGTATCTGCAATAAATAAATAAATAAATAAATAAATAAATAAATAAATAAATAAATAAATAAATAAATAAACATTTAAGTCACGTTTATATGTTTTATGTTTAGTTCCTTATTTATTTTAGAGTTTTTTTTATTCTTTTCAGCTTGAGTTACCTCTGCGTTTGAAAAAAAAAAGCTGTAGAAATAAAGCTGAGTTGAGCTGAATTAACATACTTTTCTAGTTGTATTACCCTGTAGATACTATACTGCCCAACAACCTTTGCTCCCCGTTTTTACAAAATGGTCTGGTGTCATTTACTACTTTTTCCTAAATCTAAGGTTTGTTTTTCTTTTAGAATAAATTCAAACTTATTTTTGTTTTGCTCTTGAGTCGTGCCTTATTGGTGGGGGTCAGTTGTAACATTCATAGAAGAATTAGAACCAAACAAAATACCCATCTGTCTGAGTCACATCTGGACCTCCCGTCCAATGAGAGGAAGGTAAACTGGACCTGACCAATCAGAGGTRAGARTGACACGTCGCCTCYAGTCACAACCTGGTGAGGGGTTAAACACAAATGCCTAAATAAATATTTGAGTCTTCTGTGCAGCTGCCGCATTAGTTACAGATCAGCCCATAAGTTTGGCACATGGCGGCTCAGGGTTTGCCGAGGTGGGAGAGCGCAGCGCGGAGAGTTTTGTGTCTCCTCGGTTTGCTTTTGTCTGTTTATGCTCTTCATGTTGAACTCACCAAAGAAAGAGACCCAGCTTACAGAGCGATGTGTGATCTGGGAGAATCGGTGAGCTGCTCCAAGGTTTTTACTTCCAGGTAGGATTCTGACCTTCCTTTATACACCTGCAGAAAACACAAACTTTATATGTAACCCTGGGCTTTTTCTAAGTTTGTTTTGTAGCTTTTCCACCCCCCCCCCCCATCCCCATTGCCACGTGTTGGCTTTTTGAAATACCTAGAAATTCCTTACATCAGTGCTACTCTACAGTGAGAAAACATACAAAATGAATTTAGTTATATTTTAATAAAAAACATGTGTAGGAGAATTATTTTGATAAGTCTATTAAATCATATTTAACAATGTTTCTCAGAATGATGACTGTTTTTCTCCTGTTTTTGGCAGATGGGGACGTGGTTTTGGTTTGGTCCAGTACTTCGTGGCCCAAGATAGTCCCCTGAACCAACCCAACAGTTTGCTCGGYATCATATTTTACACTCTGCAGTTGGCCCTCGGTTAGTCTGTTATTGTCCTCAGAAAATTACAGCGTTGCGTTTTCAGGCTGGAGTCTTGTGTTTTGCATGGTTTGGTTATCATTTCCAGCTATTTGAGATGTCAGCACAATGTTTTTTATTTAAACTGAGGGAGTGAATCTCACACGTCTTTGTTGCAGGACTGACTCTGTCTAAAAAAGCAGCCCTGGCCTTGGTCCTGTCCTCCTGGGTGTCCATCGCTGGTTCGCTTTACCTGGCATCTATCCTTGTGTTTGTTCTGGAGGATTTCTGCTTGGTGTGTGTGTCAACGTACGTTGTCAACTTTGCACTGCTCTACACCAACCTGAAAAGAAGGAAAGCGCTCGAAGGAATGAAGGAAAAAACTGGATGAATGATGTGATTTACCTGGATCAGTCTGGATCAACAAAGCTATGTTGTTAGAATATTCAAAATCRCCTCGGATCAATCAGACGATCTCAAGCCAAAAACTGTTTTGTATGTTGTTCATTCGTGACACGTATGACACACAACTCTTTTGTCTGGCATTTTGTCAGACATCATCAAAGTGAAGGAGAAAAAAAAAACTTTTTAATATTGTGCAATTACTGAGTCCTGCCAGCAGATGGAGCCAAATACTCAGTTTTAATTCACTTCTGAATAAACGTCTCTCAGGATGTTAAAGGATTATTTTCACTGCAAAACATGAATCATAGTTACTTACAAGAATTTACAATGTTAAGAAAACAAATTAACTTTTAATCACAATAAGAACTCAAATGACTGAATGAAGAAGAACAACGTTTTTTTTTTTTAAATCATTCGTCAGAAATGTTACCAGCATTTACTGCACTGGGATATTTGTCTTTGAGTATGTTGAACRTTTTGTAATACTGTATATTAACCTGTTTGTTTTATCCTGACAACAGACAGACTAGATTTTCATTAAAAATGCTTAGTAATATTAGTTTATTTTTGAATGACAGAAAAAGAAGTAATCTTGTGCTTCTGCTGCATTAATTAAAATCAAACCCACAGGTTCAGTTTCATGTTTGAGCTACAATKTATCATAAAAACCTAAATGTAACACATTGTTTTAATCAGCTTAAAATATACTGTGTGAAATAAAAACAGAGACATGCCTGATGGTGTCTTTTTCAAACTTAAGCAATTTAAATGAAGGAAACTATTTTCTTCAGTATATTTATATATCTACTGTCATATTACAACATAAGATTATTATATCACAAAAGTGTTTCTTTACAGAATCCCCCCCCCC